TAAGAAAAAATAAACTACCATAACGGTACTCCACAGGAGGACGATTCAGAATTAATTTATCTTTTGTATTTTTATTAACTTACAGATTGTGAGGACAGGTAGCTCATGCCATCAGCGATTTGCCAAGCAAACTTCATCAGCTGCTGTGACGTCAGATCTGTTTGTGGTTTGATGTCCGGATCTTGAAAGTAAGTGTCATTTCATCCACGGCTCCTTTTCAGGTAACCCTGCAGATATCCAAAAGGGCATATTCAGTCATTACCAGGAGTTCCTCTGCAAACGCACACACAGTAAAAGGTTTTGATGAGGTAGTCTTATAAATAAAATCACAAGGAAAATGTGGATGGCATCATTAGAACCCACAACCAAAACATACCAGATCCAGTAACACATCTCAGAAGGTTTCATGTCGTGAGGATTTGGTTTAAGGTTCTGCATTGTTTCAAGTTCTTCAAATCTTTCTTGTCTGATTCAGTAGCATTAGCTGAAGAGTTGAAAGCAAACTTTAACGATATGAAAAATGCCGAAGTAACAATATAAGTGTTGAGGTAGCGAATGGCCGAAGAAAACTTAAAATTAGGACATGTTTCATTCAAAACCACCAATCAATTTTATTAGGATTAATATAATCAAACGAAACAACCAGAAACGATATGCTGAGGTTAGAACACAGCTCACATTTGAGCATCTTAATAGCTGCTGTAGTCGTATCAGGCCTCCCTCTGAGTCCTACTACCGTTCCCTTGGCAACTTGCCCAAAAGCACCTTTTCCAATAACTTTTTCTATGGTCACGTGATGTCTTGGAACTTCCCAGGAGCGTGTCAGGGGATGAAGAGGGGCGTCATCAGCACCTGGACTTGTATTCTGTTGTTGTCTGTTATCTTTGCTGACCTCTTTGAGATCCATGTATTCCGCTGGAGGCTGCGTGAGTGTACTTGAATGGGGCAGACTTTGTTCGATATCGCGTTCAGTCGCCATATTCTGTTAAACCAATATAGCCCTCCAACTCATTGATAAAAAAGTCTGTAGTAAATAAGTCTAATAAATCTCAAAAACATGTCATATCAGGTGATAACAACAGTTTACTCATCTTTTATCAGACCTACGTTTGTTCTTTCTTTATTATAATTAAAATTAATAAACAGCATGTTCTATGTAATCGAAAACGATCATGTTTTCATGGATTGATCGAGATTTAAACCGTCTCCCAGTTAGCTCAATTGATTAGAGCGCTGGATTGTTGTGCGGGAGGTCGAGGTCGATGGTTCGAGCCCCGGCCGGACCAACACTCAAGGTCTTAAAATAACTGAGGGGAATGCGCTACCTTTCTATAATATCAAGAAATGGATAGACATTCTAGTCTTCTCGGATAAGGACGAATAAACCGTAGGTCCCGTCTCCTAGATCTAGCAATTAGTTAATTTGGTTAGGCAGGGGACGTTAAAGAACCCACTCACGAGATTACTGTGATGTGGTCTGGCCTGTTTACTGAGAATTGGGGGGAGAGGGCATCTTCAAATAAGTTTCCTTCGATTGTTTGTAAACTGCTGATGCAGTCTGGCCAAAGTCCCCCGAAAAGTGTTGTGATGCGCATTTCATCATATCCACATGTTAATTTGCGCAATATAAATATTAAATTATTATTATTATTATTATTATTATTATTATTATTTCCGATATCCACACCAAAACTACAAACTGCTACCCCAAAATAGGAAGGTTCACAATTGATAGCTGACATATACACACTCGGAAAAACTATCTGATTAGAAAATAAGACATCGAGAACATAAGACGGCAATACAGCACGAGAAACTAATTATCAAGGAAACGATTCTCAACCGGTTATCTATGAGTACATGAGAAAACCGAGAGCAAATCCAGCGAGTAGCTTGACTTCATCCTAGGACAGAGTCCCTACCCATTTTTACGCGTTTTTGTAAAATCCTGCTCATTTTCTCACAGATTGCTACCACCTATTTTACTGAAGAGAGCAGATGTGAAGAAAGATGAAACGCTTTCTCCCCACACCGACATGACCATAATATTTACGTCACAACTTACGTTGTAAGCCCTTCTTTCATCTTCATAGGTCTTACAATCAAGAAATATGATTATAATGCTTACACTAATAATGATTATGATAGTAGTTGCGACAATAATAATAATGAGAATAATAATTATTATGATAATGAAAATGGACAGTTTGATGGTCCAAGTGTCAGAGGCAAAGATAAGGTCGAGAAGGATAAGGGGCGTAGCATGTTGTCCATGTTCATGGAAATGTCGTTCTTATTTTGAGTTGAGCTTGTATTGCCAGAACGATAGCAAACTGAAGCCTTTGAAAGTGAATATACTGAACGAGATGTGACTGAAGCTGATCCCCTACTGTTTAAGGTTACTTACATGGAACATGTCTTTCAGAAGTAAGGTCAGATCCAGACTTCTTAGGGCAGCAATTCCAAAAGTCTCCACCCGGCACATATCTGGTAAGACGCCATACCGCATTGATTGGTTAATAATAACAGTTCACTCGCTAGGACTGGAGTTCATCTATATATTCCTTTGCAACTTTCATCAGGACAAGATTTCGAGAGAAGGACTTACTGCAACACCACACGCAAGTGTCCTAACCTCACTTGGGAGCTCAGAGTAAGAAAATAATCTTGAGAAGGATGAGGGTTGAAGGGATCAGTCGGAGGAGCTGAGGTACTGTTATGAATTGTGACTCCGTCTAACTCACCGAGGTGACCGAGGTGGGATGCAACCAATATCTCTCGACGTACTGTTGAAGACGCTTTTCTTATTCCTATGTCATGCTAACATCGCAGCAGGTCCCACATTTTTAATGTGGTGACTGGGGTTTAAAAGACTTTAGTCCACCTTGGAAGTTATGACCTCTCATTACAAAGAACTTGTGTCTTTCGTGAGAGGTTGGCTATGCAGTGCTGACGAGCTCTAAAGAGAGCGAAACAACTGTCCACTGCTGCCGCTTCCAAGGAACCAACGCTGCGCATGCGTAGTTGCTTCTAATTGATAAAGAAGCGAGAGACAAAAGTTTCCATGCTTTGTTTGACGAATGATAGCATTTTGAGCTTGGAAGCATGGTTCATTTCGAAGTGCTGAGAAAATAGCAAAAAATAAGTTGGACTTTCCACATAAACAGTCATAAGTCCTTGTAGTAATGTTCAGGTACTGTAAGGCTATTTATAATGTAGAACGAAGTTCATAAATGTTGTGCACTGTATACAAAATATGCAAATATTCATAACAAGAAATAAAGTTTTTACCTTTGTTCCACTAGTGCACCTAATAAAGAGAAAACAGGAAAAAAGTTTAGATCCTGGAGGTAAAAATGTTTTGTCGTGCTTCATGATGGATCTTGTCTCACCCTTCTACCATATATAATGAAATTTTGACTCTGCGCAATGCCTAACCTACAGCACTGACTATTTTCAACGACTGACTCTGGAAAGCTGGTTTACTAACTTAGAACAGACTCCCCTAAACAGATGTCAACAACTACCCGCCCCATACAAACGACTCATTCACGACATAAACATCACAAACGACCGAAAAAGAACGACCTAACTTTACCGACAGATCGAAACAGACCAATCACGACCGACTTACGTCACTTGAGTCTTACAGCCAATAACATCACGGCAAAACCAACCGATCATTTCACACGAACTGGAATAAGAACATTCTACTGACAACAATCATTCACTTGACTCTGATGATGACTTCCGCACAGGTTGTCGGAAAGTCAGTCACTACCACCGACAACAGTCCTAGTAGTATAGTGGGCCTAACTGGTCATAACCGCAGGGTCTGGGTCCGAGTAGCTCGGTCGAGGTTAATTTATTCATGTAGCGTAGGTGTACAAGGCTTTTTTAGGGTTTAGGGTTAATATATTCATGTAGCGTAGGTGTACGAGGGGTTTTTTTAGGGTTAATATATTCATGTAACGTAGGTGTACGAGGGG